GTGTACAGCATTTCAGACCCGAGCTGGGGTCAGGGGGGCAGAAGGGAGGGGAGGGGAAGGGGGGTGGCTGATGGCATGGTCAAAGAGGAGGGTCTTGAGGCAGGCCTTGAAGGAGTCTAAGGAGGGGGCGAGGCGGAGTGACTGGGGGATGGAATTCCAGAGGTTGGGGGCAGAGAGGCTGAAGGCTCTCCCGCCAATTGTGGGTCAGGGGACGTGGAGCAGCCAGAGCCGGCCGAGCAGAGGGAACGGGCATCCACATTCATTAATTAAGTCAATTCACTTCACAGTATACCCTGTGAAGTTCTTTGACATGTCTCAACGATGTAGTAAGGTGCTATATCAAATGCAAGGATTATTATTATGTTATTATTACAACATGTGTGGGGGGGTGCGGGGGTAACTCTAATGGATCTGAAACCAGAGGGAATATAATAACACACACTTGGAATGAGCATCCTCCACATAGGGTTAATGTCTCAAAATGTCATCACAGAGACACTGCGGGACACAGGAGTGTGGTGGGGTGGGGAGAATGAGGTGAACGTAGTTTTTTTTTAAACATAGATAAAGAGGGAGGAGAAGGCAAAGAGTCAGAGGGAGGGAATTCCAGGGGTTTAGGGGCACCGTGGCTTACAGATCAGCCACCGATGGTGGGGTAGAGGAAGCGAAGAATGTGGAGTAGCCGGAGTTACTGAGTCAGAAAGAAAGACAAAGAAATACCAACTTTTGTAGCCGTTATTGATTTACGAGTAGAAATATATTGGCTAAAACGTACTCTCTCACAAAGAGAGAAAGAAGCCAATGGTGGGGATGGGCATGGAAAGTGGGAGGGGAGAGAGAAAGAGGGAAGGGAAACAATGATCAGTAAGTTACTTTTCAAGAGCAAAAAATACAAAGATTGAAATTTACACCTAGGATTTCCTAAACTGGGGACAATTTACTCTTGTGAAGAGTGAACTAATTCTATGCTGTGACTCATTGGGTTTTTGTCAAAAAAAAAACCCTGTAACGTTTGAAAATATCTGAGTCAAGTAAAGACAAGATGTAAGACTGTTTCCTCCAAACACATACACACACACACACACACACACTAACCCCTCCTGCCACCCCCACCAAGTCTTATCCCTAATGCAAAAGGATTAAATCAATTGCTGTGCAAAACAAAATCGTCGGGTTTATACGCCGCAATTTGTAACTGAGCAACACTGTCTGCAAATATTAATACTGATAAATCTTTGCATTCGATGCAACGTCAAAAAAAAACGCTTCAAAGCACTTCATAGGGAATTACAGTCAAGTGTGGCCCGCTGCATTCGTAGGCAAACACGGCAGCCAATTTGTGCACAGGATTAAGGCTAGGTTTGAACTCAAATTTACCATCCACTAGCTGGCATAACTGACAGTAAAACAACAGAGGCCAGTGTTAAAGGTCAATCCATTGTTGCTTTGCAACCCTATAAAAGGCAGCAATCTGCTATTTTAAAATCAAACGTGGACTTGAGTGGGCCAGGGTTTATAGTGAGCGCGTGCAGTCGTTCCTGTTTATACGCTTTGGGGATGGCCCGCCTGATAGAGACTCGGGCAATGGGTGGAATGAATCCCTTTGTAAGGGTTGCAAAACATGTGGTCAATGTAACCCAAATGTAGAAAGGCTCAGCCTCTCTTCATTAATTATAAGGAATTACTAGATTTCTGAGCCTGGCATCTGCTCCTCACAACTCACGTATCCATTGGGACGTAGCAATGCGGGGTGGGGGCGGTGGGGGGGGGGGGGGCGGAAACGACTGCTCCACTTGCAATCAGCTTGGCTCCTGGAGTCTATGTGCATTGGGGTGCACTGTACAGAAGTCTCGCTGTTCTACCCTGTTTCGAAGAGAATATATTACGCTTTAAGTGGGGGAGAGAAGGAAACTCTATGGAAACTCTGTGTGTGTGTGGGGGTGGGAGGTAGAGAAACAAAATGTAGCTCATTATTGCCCTACTAACTGAAGTGCAAATCGACTCTTAATCTTCCTGACCGACCCAGCCTTGAATCCCCAGTAACCGAATTTAATTAAATAGTAATGAAGGTGCAGAGTGGAGTAACACAGGAATTCACCAGTGAAATCATCGACTGATTGATGAGCGCAGTTCCAACAAGGGACGGAGCAGGTTGAAATATTTTTTAGTGTTAAACTTGCGATGTGGGAAAACCCTGAAAATCACCTTAACATGAGTCATTCTTTCCCCCCCCACCCTCCCACCCCCACCACTAACCTTGCAAACTGAATTTCTTGTACTCTGCCACTAGCCCTTGTATTAACTATTAACACAGCGCAGAATAACATCTCTTCCTAATTCCTGCTGTGATGCAACAGCCACGAACAGGAAGCAGCTTTAATCGCGGACAAGAGTAACGTAAAGTCTCTTCGTGTTTTGATTGCTGTATCTCCTAGATCAGCCCGATTGTCAGGCATGTGCGAGGAAATTGTTTTCTGTACCTCCCGTGCTTTGCTTTTCGGTCTCAAATTTAATAAAACCCTCTCCCCATCCACCCCCAACACACACACACACAAAAAAACTTTTCAAAAGTCTCTCCTGCTCTTTCTAGCGTGCAATAAAATGTCCATTTAATCCTCAGCTGTGGAAACGGCTCTCTGTAAATTTTAACAGGATCAGATGAAAGCTTTTGAAGGAAAGAAGAAAACGAAACTCGCACCAATTACAAGAAATCGCAAAATGCTAAGGCCCTGTAACTGCAGCAGGAACTGGCTATTTTCACTTTTACTAGGTCTTTCAATCAGCTGTGAGTGTGTTTCCTTTCCCCCCTCCCCCCAAAAAAATTACAAAGAGAAGAGTATGCAGACTTGTATCTCTGGAACAACCACAGTACAAAATCTCGCCATCGCACCTTAAAACAGGTCAGTCAGTTAGTCAGTCAGTCAGTACAAAAACATAGTCACTATACTTTACAGTAAACCCTGTGAGCGCACTTTAAGATGTCCGTCTCCCTGTGTGATAGGCGCTGTATCGCACCAAGGATTTGTGTTTAATAAACTTAACTGCCTAAAAATCCCCCAAAGGGAACGGTTAGGCAAATATATATTTTTGAAGACACACACACACACATCATGCTCCGCCACTGTCAAGTGCTCTGGGATGCTACCCTGCACGAGGGGCGCTATTTAAATGCAAGTTAAATGCAAGTTGTTATTGTTCTTGTTATCACCACATGTGATACACTACCTCAAAAAACAGTGCTTGAAGCAGAACATGTACAACAACAACTTGCATTTATATAGCGCCCCTAACCCTAACTCAGAGCCTTTGGAAAGGATATTAAACTAATACTTGGAAAAGATCATTGGAAGTTGGGTCAAAACGACCTCCTTGTGCGATGTGAAATTCTACGATTCTAATGAAAACTGTGCCACGTTAAGAGCTGACATGTCCATACAGAGTGCAGTTTAATTATTTTCGAATGAGAATAGCACTCCTTTCTTTTACACTCCACTTCCGCTGCCTACCTCGCCTCCCCTCCCCTCCCCTCCATAGGATCTCCCTCTGGCGCCCACCCACCCCCACACACACACTTGGCAAAGGTTCTGAACCGGCACTGTGTGGTGTGGTGACATTCCAAAGGCCACCGATGTCAAGATACACAAGTGTGGCCGGTGAAATCGCCCACTCTCACCGTTTCCCTTCCTGTCAGTGGGAAAGACACAGCTGAGATCAACGCACTCAAAAAGCACAAGACTCTCAAGTGCAAAACAAAATCCTCGAGCACCTCACAGTCACTCGATTCCTGGTTTGCTTATGTCCGAACAGGAGACTAACCACAATTTTCTTTTGGCCAACTAGTGAGTATCCTCCTGAGAGGAGTGGGGGAGGGGAGGTAAACAGGGTCTCCTTGGAGCTGAATAGGTCTGTGGCGGTCTTGGTAGTCCAGTCCCTGAGCCAGACTGGTCTGCAGTATTCCAGGGCACTTGCTGATGACAGCACAGCCGGCCTGGCTCATCGGCAGGATTTGGAAGGGCAGACCAGTCACTGGGGGCAGGGAATCTTTCCACTCAGCTCCTGCTAATCCTGCAAGCCAAAGCCCTAATGGGCAGGGTGGTCCCAGCTGGTCAAGCAGCGGGAAAGCTTGCCAGAAGGCACTCTCAATAGCAAGCTATGCAGTTTTAGCTGGTTGGACTCCAGCAGTTACCCCCAACCCACACTCTGGGGTCCCCAAGCCTTGGCTCTTGCCAACCTGCGCCTAATACTTTCTGGCAATAGGTAAGCAGGATGCATCCCTCCAGGGAGAGAATGCGCATTCTATCCCAACAAATATCTCGGGAATTTCCACGTCTAGATGGGATGCTTGGAACTCTGTTTAGTTTGGATACTCTTAATCGCGGTGATGGTTCCCGCTTGCGGCGAATACAATAATACAATTTTAAAAAACAACAAAATACCAAAATTGCAACAAATTCCATTCCACTCGAGCGAGCCGCTGACGTTTCTGGCTTTAACAGACACTGGAGTCCAAATATAAGGACAATAACTGTTGTTCCTTATAGAAAGGCAGTTTCACTCCCTGGGTGTCCTGGCCAACAAACCGTGGCAGATAAAATCAGTCGTTCATTTTGTCGCTGTTTGTAAGTCGTTACTGTCAACTAGGCTGCCGTGTTCACCTACAAAAAGGACAGGCACTAAACTTCAACCACAACTTGCACCTATATAGCGTTCTTCATGCAGGATGACATCCGGAGCTCTTACTTTTCAGTAGTGTCCTGTGAAGCGCATTTCGATGTCCTGTGTGTGTGTGTGGGTTTGGAGAGTACTGTATCGAATGTAAGTATTATACTTATTCTTGTTATTATTGCTGCCCTCAGAGAAAAGGGATGGGGTGGGGGGGGGTGGTGTTTGGGAGGTGGAAGAAAGGAGTCAAACTGTCAGGAAAGTAGAAAGAGGTTTGAAAACTTTAGCCAGTGGCAAACTTCACATTGATTTAAAAATCTGACTAACTCATTTCCTACCTGCAGGACTGTGAGGTTAGCCTGTCCAGACAAGCTCAGCTTCTCCTGCTCGGACGGATATGCGTTGAGTCGATGTTCGTAAAGCCAGTCCCGCAGGATGGTCACAGACTCTTTGGAAAAAATCACATGCCTTTTCCTCTTTTTGGAATTGGCCATGTCCGGAGAGAAACTGCCATCTTCTTCGCCCGTCTCGCTGTCTGACATGGTCAATTCCACCGACCTCTGGCTAGCAAAGGCTGGGGACAAAGGGAAAAGAGGAGAGACAGAAAGAGAGAGAGAGAGGAGATCGACTGGTTAGTGAATGAGTTCAGTTACCGGCGACAGAGGCAAAAACAAATCCTTCAAAAATAATTTCCTTCAAAATAAATTAAAAGATAATTTGGTCACTTCAACCCACGGCTGTTTGTGGGGACAGACGCTGCTGTGCGCAATTGGCTGCCGCGTTTCGCCCACAAAATAAGACGTCGATTCACTTTACAGTGCAATCCCGTGAAGCGCCTTGAGACGTCTGGAAGACGTGATGAGGCGCTGTATCAAATGCGAGGGATTATTATTATTTATTATTAAATCGCATTGCAAGTGTAACAATAATAACAACAACAGTAACAACAACATCTTGCATTTATACGCTGGACGGCGTCTCGGATGGCTATCAACAACAGGGCAGTAAGGAAACGCACGACTCGTAACAGATTGCGAAGACGGGAGAAAAAGCCACTTATTACAACAAAGAGGGGAATGAAAGAGAGAGAGAGAGAGAGAGAGAGAGGAAGTGCAGGAGAGAAAGAGAGGGAAGGAGGAAAAAAGTTTGAAACAAGTTGCTCAGAACTTAACTCACCCAAATTCTTTCTCCTCCCCACCTCCCCCCTCTCTTCTCCTCCAAACTCTTTGTTATCTTACCCCCCAAACGCCCACCCCACACACCGCCCGCCCCCCCCCCCCCCCCGCCCCCAACAAACAAACGTTAACTCTCTTGTTTTTTTTAAATCTATCTGTCAAAAGAATAAGTGTCGTGTCAAGGAATTAAAGCGGCGCAAAAGCTCCCTCCTGCTTTTATTCCCCCTCCCACCTTTACAACGTAGACAAAAGAGAGCGAGAGAGAGAGAGCGAGGCGGGGGAGGAAGGGGGGGGGGGAAACGACCTTACTTTTTATATAAAAAGACATAAAGAAAACGATCCCAAAGTTTATTTAAGGGACACATTTTTTGCCGCCATTTGACAAGTGAGTGAGCTAAGACACTAGCCCCCAAATTCCCACCCCCCCCCCCACCCCTCTCTCTCTCTCTTGCTCTGGTTTCTTTTTGTTGCTGGTAAAAGAGGAACAAACAGGGTTTATTCCCAACCCAAGAAGCAAACCTCATCTGTCAGAGGCTTCAACAGGAAGTTCTGTCTGCAACTTAAAATAAACTTTTTAACTTTTTTTTTGCCCCTCTTCTCCCCCCCCCCACCCCCTGACACCACCCACACTCACACCCCTTGCTCTGTGTGTGTGTGTGTGTGTCTCTCTCTCTTGTTGAGGGTGGGGGTGGGGGGGCGTGGAGGCTGGGGAGTGAGTGGGGGGGAGTGGGGAGTGTATGTGTGTGGGGAGGGGGTGCTGGGGAGTAGTGTGAGGGGTGGGGAATGGGGAGTGAGGGGGGGTGGGGGGGTGGGGAGTGAGTACAATCATGGAGAAGGCTTCACATCTGAAGGACCTCGTGTTAGGAGATTCCCATCATGGTCTGAGCAGCTCAATGTGCTCAGCTTTTTAAAAACTTTTTTTTTGGTGGTGTTTTTGTTTGTGGGGGGGGGGGGGTGTTGGGGAGGAGGGGGGTGTTAGAGGGGGGTGTTAGAGGGGGGTGGGGGGGGGATCTGGGGTAAAAGGGACTGGGAGGGAGGGGAGGGAGAGAAAGTAAGAGAAAGACTGGAGACGCACACGTTCTCCTTTCTTTGCAACAACAACAAAAGAGCAGACGGCGGACTTCAGCCCTCAACCCCACACTGTCTGTCTGTCTGTCTGAATGTCTCTCACTCTGCAAAACATCTGTGCACACACACACACACACAGACACACAGACACACACACAGACACACACAGATACAGACACACACACACACAGACACACACACAGACACACACACAGATACAGACACACACAGAGACACAGACACACACACAGTCACACACACACAGATACAGACACACACAGAGATACAGACACACACACACACAGACACACACACACACAGAGATAGACACACACAGAGATACAGACACACACACAGACACACACACACACAGAGATACAGACACACACAGAGATACAGACACACACACAGAGATACAGACACACACAGAGATACACACACACAGATACAGACACACACACAGACACAGAAATACACACAGACACACACAATAGACAAATAGATACATACACACACGGATACATAGACACAGACACACGGATACATAGACACAGACAGAGAGATACTATTCTGCCTTTCAGTAGCAAAAAGCCACTGAATGAACAGACCGACTCCACGCGTTCAGCTCAGACCCCCCCTCCCTCCCCCCCTCTCTCTCTCCTCTCTCTCCCCCTAATGTTTCCAGGAGCTTTTCCGCCACAATTCAATTCACAAGAGAAATAAATAATAATAATAATAATAAAACACACACCACACACACAGGCAGAGAAACATCCTTTCTCTCCCCACCAGCACCACACAGCCTCCCTCCCTCCCTTTCTTTCTTTCTTTTCTCTTCTTCCACCTTCCCCCCTTCTCTCCCCACCCCAACACAAATTTGTTTTTAATCCCAGAAAAAAAAACCACCTTGTTTGAAGGAAATGGGGAGAGGAGTCAGGCTGTTGGGAGGGGAGTAGTGGATGGGGAGGGGGTCAGTCACCTCCACCACCAGCACCAGCACCACTTTGACAAGGACAAGGTGGGGAGAGAGAGAAAGAGGGAGAGAGAGAGAGAGAGAGAGAGGGAGGGAGAGAGAGGGAGGGAGGGAGGGGGGGAGCAATCATTTTAAATAAAGAAAAATTAACAAGGTCAACACCTTAACCTACCTTTCTTTGCAGCTTTCATCTTGTTGCAGCTTTAGTGTTGATGTTGTTGGGTTTGACTGATGGGGAGAGAGAGAGAGAGAGAGAGAGGTTGCAATAAATAAATCTCTCTCTCCCTCTCTCTCTAATCTCTCTCTCTCTCTATGGGTTTATAATCTGTATTTATATCTGGAATATATATATATATGTGTGTGTATATATATATATGTATATCAGGCAGTAAAAGCTTGTGGCTGGAGCTGGAGAGAGAGAGAGAGAGAGAGTGGGAGCCTGACCTGACTGAGCACGTTACAGTGTGTGCGCAATGCTGTTGGATCGCGTCTCTCTCTCTCTCTCTCTCTATTGCTGTTCTCTCTCTCTCTCTCTCTGTTCTTTCTCTCTCTCTCTCTCTCCTGTAAGGATAGCGTGGCGCAGTTACACAAAGCTCTCCCTCTCTCTCTCCTCCCCCCTCTCTCTCTCTCTCCCCGCCCTCTCTCTCTCTCTCTCCCCCCTCTCTCTCTCTCTCTCCCCCTCTCTCTCTCTCTACCTATCTGTTTTGGACAGATCTCCCTCTCTCTCTTTCCCCCTTCTCTCTCTCTCTCTCTCTTTCCCTCTCTCTCTCTCTCCCCTCTCTCTACCTATCTGTTTTGGACAGATCTCTCTCTCTCTCTCTTTCCCCCCCTCTCTCTCTCCCCCCTCTCTTTCTCTCTCTCTCTCTCTCTCTCCCCCCTCTCTCTCTCTCTCTACCTATCTGCTTTGGACAGATCTCTCTCTCTCTCTCTCTCTTTCCCTCTCTCCTCTCTCTTTCTTTCTATTCTTTCTTTCTCTCTCTCTCACTGTGTGACAGCTCACCCCGGAAACGACCTCGCAAACAGACGTCAAGTCACCCCCTCCTCTCTCTCTCTCTCTCTTCTTTTTCCCTCTCCCCCTCTCTCCTCCCTCTCTCTTCCCCCCCTCTCCCTCTCTCCCCCTCCCCCTCTCTCCCTCTCTCCCCCTCTCCCTCTTCTCCCCCCCCCTCTCTCCCCCCTCCCCTCTCTCCCCCTCTCCCCCTTTCCCCCCTCTCCTCTCTCCCCCCTCTCCCTCTCTCCCCCCTCCCCTCTCTCCCCTTCCCCTCTCTCCCCCCCTCTCCCCTCTCCCCCCCCTCTCTCCCCCTTCTCCCTCTCTCCCTCCCTCTCCCTCTCTCCCCCCTCTCCCTCTCTCCCTCCCTCCCTCTCCCTCTCTCCCCCCCTCTCCTCTCTCCCCCCTCCCCTCTCTCCCCCTCTCCCCCTCCTCCCTCTCTCCCCCCTCTCCCTCTCTCCCCCTCCCTCTCTCCTCTCTCTCCCCCCTCTCCCCTCTCTCCTCTCTCTCCCCCCCCTCCCCCCAAAAAAGATCTAAAATCACAAACCTGTTTCCTCCCCTCCCCCCGGAGCTGCGATACACACCGCAATGTGACCCTCAGATCTGTCACAACTCCCTGAACACACACCACACTCACACTCACTCACAGTCACACACACTCACACAGTCACAGACACTCACTCACTCTCACACACACTCACTCACTCACTCTCACACACAGACAGACAACACACTCACAGACACAGACAATGCACTCACACACTCCCTGATCACACACTTCCTCACACAGACAGACAACACTCACACACTCACTCATACAGACAGACAACACTCACACACTCACTCACACAGACAGACAGACAACACACACAACACTCATACAGACAGACAACACTCACACACACAGACAACACACTCATACACAACACACACAGACATAACACACACACAGACGTAACACAAAAACAGACATAACACACACAACACAGACAACACACACAACACACACAACACTCACACACAGGTACAACACATACACACAACACACAAACAAGGACACATAACACTCACACACACAGACCCAAACACAGACATAACACTCACACAGACCCAAACACAGATAACACACTCACACACAAACCTCACACACAGACACACACACAACACACTCGACACACACACACACACACAGACACGTCCCCCTATTAATGTTGCAGAAATATCAATCTTGCATCTCCTCACCACAAATTGGGAATGATCTTCATTTTTAAGTATGCAGTTATATGTATTGCAAAATAAGTGTTCCCCCCATTTCTACTTTAAAACAAGGAGAGGAGGGGGAGATTGATAAGGGAATGGGGGGGGGAGAGGGGAGAGGAGGGGTTGTTGCAGGTTTTGAGAATTTCCAGGGAAAAGAGTGACAATAAAGGGAAGGATTAATGTAACACGAGGTTGTGTCTGGATTTGTAAAGCAGCTCTATTTATCAATGGTGAAATAAGGACACAGCCTCGATTTTCCAATCCAATTCCTGTCTATTCTGCAACCCCCTCCTCTGTCTCTGTCTCTGTGTCTCTCTCGGTTCCACTACCTTGTAAGGTCAGCCTTTCCTGTCTTAAAAACAAAACCCATAAAGATATATTAAAAAACACAGATGAAACTAACATGTATTGGGGCACTTTACCTATTCATGTGCACCTCCATCACCCTCCCCCCCCCCCCACCCCGCCACCCACACACACACAGAAAAAAACTAGTGTTTTTTTTAAACAATCCAAAATAAAACTTATTTATAATAAATGTATTGATCGTAAATTGATGTTAAACCAAGGGCACCGCTGCCTGCCTGTACAGGTGGGCTTTAAAGATCTCGTGGCGCAGTTTCCCATGACCACCAACCCTACCCCCACCCCACCCCTCCGAATGAATTGGTCGTTCACTTCATGGCTGTTTGCGGGACATTGACGCACCAATTGTGCGAAGCGGTTTCGGACGTCTCGGAAACGTGAACAACCTTATATCAACTGCGAGGCTTGTCCATATTTCAAAACACACAGTCACTACATGCTACAGTAAATACTGTGCAGTGCTTCGAGACGTCCTCCCGATATCAAATACAAGCCTCATTATTTATTATTTTATTTAATAATTAGCACCCAGCCCCCCCCCCGCCACCCGCCACCCCCAGCAGCAGCAATAAATCCCAATTTAGCACGATGTGTTTTGGTTTGCACGGCAAAGTGAGTGGAGGCATAAACTTTTTCTTTGTTCCTTCCCAGCCTGGTTTCTCCACATGTCCTGAGCCTGACCTCCTTCCCTAGGCCTCAAACAATGCTTTCCTGAGCTGATCACTGAAGCAGTGTGTGACGTTACCCTGAGGATCATTCTCATGTCAGTTATGTCCCTCCCACCACACAGCACACTTCAGATCAGGGACTCCCAAAGCATCAGCAGTTTAAACGCGTTTCCTTTTGTTGCGTGTTTGCCTCCTGCAACAGCATATTACTGAACCACAACACACTGTCTATTAAATGGCACGCTTACACAGGGCAAAGTGTCGGTTAGGAAGGACAAGACAAGGCAGAGTAAACCGCTTCACGTACTTGGTAATAACATTTTACTTTGTGAATGTGCGGGAGTATAATCTCTGCCTTAATGTATTTATGGATGATGATATCGGGAACTGATTTGCCTACGTAAATTGTATTGATTATCAAGTGCGTTTCCTCACCATTACTCAAACTCTGCAAGTTCTATTTTTACATTACAGTGAGCTGTCGCGACTGCAATACATCCAGCTTGAGTCTGACGTAACCTGCAGATATCTAAATTAAATACCTAATACCATCATTGTGCTAACAGGAAGAGGCATGTTTGAATGCCTGTTAATCACTGAGCATGTTTGTTTTGTTGCTCTTGTTTCTGCACCGTAAACGGCAACACCAGAAAATGTTTAAACCAAGTCAGCTAAGATAATGAATTTGCTTATTGTGAACTAGGCCACACAGATGATGTATGTCCAAGGTATTTAACCCCTATGTTCTAAGTTCCTGTTCTCCTGTTTGTGCGTGTGCATGTTGCACTATTGCTGTTTGCCTGGGCTGACAGATATGTGTGTGTACATGTGTGTGTTATAGTGTTTATAGTAGTATTTATTGGGCTCTTTTGATGGGGGAATTTGGGAAGCCACTGCCTAGTCCAACCCTGCCTTTGTGAAATGTTATCCGCTGTGAAGGGCGCTGTGCAAATGGAAGTTGTTGTCGTTATTTGTCATCGTTGCTGAGTGAAACCGAGCCATAAACTAGAAAATCTTGAATTCATGTGTGTGCTGATAGCAGGTAGGGCAGTGTGTTGTGAAGCTGTAATTGACCTCAGTATCACTGTGTGAGGAGAGGAAAAACAGCCGAGGTTCCCACTCTTGTTCATTATCCAGTGTCCACTTACTGGTAAGGGTGTGTATAAATGTTAGATGAGGGCACAATTGGACTCAAACAGGTTTTGCCGACACTTACCGTCCAGACTGTTGCATGGAGAACAGCCTTTTGGGCAAGATATTGAGAAGCTTCCAACACTAGTGGAGCCATATAGCAGGATCAGTCAAGGCCACTGACGTTAAAAGGAAATTGGAAACTGTTGACTTTGGGCCTAATTTTGTGGCCGAAAGCCCACATAAATAGGTAACGAGAAAGGTTAACACCAAAATTTCCTTTTCCTTATTACCTAACGGGGAGACCAGAGATCTCAAAAGCAGGTGTCTACCTAAGATTTTAACTATATGTGACACCTGCATTTTTGTCCAAGGCTATTAGTCTAAATGGTCTCTCAAAGGACATTCTAATCTGCAAACTACTGCCAATCCTATTGACTAATAAAACTTTAATCTTGCCTCCTGAATTTTTGACATACAATTGTATCTCTTGGCATTCCCATGTGATTGGTTTCTCCCCAATTGTTTTGCTTCTCTTTCGTAGAATCACAGCAAAAAAGCTGTTTGTGGGACATTGCTGTGCGCAATTGGCTGCCGTGTTTCACTCCCAAAATACACAGTCACTCCATTTTACAGTATATCCTGCAAAGTGCTTTGAGGTGTCTCATCGACTGGAAAGGTGCTATATCAAATGCAAGGATTATTATTATTACTGAAAATGCATTTCCCATTTGTACTTTAAGCTCAGGTCCGTAACTGTTGTTGTTGTTAATAGTGACTGTTGGCTTCAGTTGTTCTCCATTTCTGAACATCCATAACAAGAACTGAAAAACGTAAATCATTCAAGGAATGCTGTTAAAAATGTAATCTGATCCTATTGATTCAGAATGCGATGAATTTTTTTTACTTTAAATTCTTTCATTTTTAAATTCACTTTACAGTATATCCTGTGAAGCGCTTTGAGACGTCTCGAAGACGTGATAAGGCGCTGTATCGAATGCAAGGATTACTATTATTACTAGTATAATTATTATCATTAAATGTGTTGCACGCAGGTTTGCCTGAAAAGGCAGTAAAAACATATACGCCCCCGCCTCCCCTCACCTGCTATTAGGAAGATACAAGCCTCAGAGATTCCATGACATGCCTTGGATGTGTCCAGCTGGAGTCTAACATGCACCAGTCACCAGTCACTGACACGAACACACTTTCCCACACTTGGAAATAGAGGCACATCATTTCTCACTGCCTTAGGTTTAAGATTGTCCTGGATTTTCGAAAGGTCTCGAAAGACAGTCATCGTTTTGGAAATTGTCTCGAAAAAGAACTTCGGGTGACTGAGGCTGAATCTTTCCACAATTCTGCACCATCTTAAAATGTCAAGAGAAAGAACCGTGTGAATGAGGGGGGGATGGGAGTGAGGAATTTCAGGCCTCTGTGAGTGTTGACAAGCTGCTCAGTCGTGAAGGGGATGACAGATTCAAGCTCGGTCCTGTCCTTGCCGTAGCTCTAAGAGAGGGGGGTTAGCAACGATGAGCAGGATTTTCTGATGTTCCCACTTTATAGGCCGGGGAGACTGAGGACAATTGTTGCTCTCCACTCACGGCTGCTTTGACCCTTGCAATCGAACATGCCTGTCAGCAGCTTGCACTGCTGAGGCTCACACAAAAACATTGCAGCAGCTTGCACTTCATAGATCTCTCCGCTCGCATGCAATAAGCATCTCAAAGAGTTCGACAGAGACAGAGTGAGAGACAGCCCGAGCAAGTTGGGAGTCCGAGGGGGAGGGGAGGGGTTGATTGGAGAGAGGTGACTGAAGGCTTAGTCAAAGAAGTATGTTTTTTGGAAGAGGTCTGAAAGTAGAAAGGGAGGGAGTGAGGAGGTGAGGAGAGTTCCAGAGAGCAGTGGAAGAGGGGGTAACAAGGCTGGTATTTCACTCCCCCCCACCCCACTCACACAAGTGAATAATAACTACTTATTAATTAAAACTACCTTTGGGGTGGGGGAGAAATTGAAAGTATAATTAGTGCGGAAAAAAGAATAAATGTGACTGAATAGCATTGTGTGGACTTTGGAGTGCTGTGTTAACCCTTGAGTTGTCTGTCTAACGTATGAGCTATCTTAAAATTATCTGAAAATGTGAAGTGTCTGTGACAATCTTTATCGCACAAACTCCCACCCAAAACCATACAAGTTACTGGTCATCACCCTGCCTGAGGGTGAGACATAATTACGCTGAGTTTTATCTTGTCCTCAATCAGACAGTTCTTTGGAAACATAATAAAAATGATGCTTTTGATACAGCGTAAACTGTAGAGTGGATTGACTGTGCATTTTGTGGGCGAAACGCAGCAGCCAATTGCGCACAGCAGTGGATTGAGTGACCAGATTATTTATTTTACTTGAAAATGTTTTTTACAGTGCAAGCTGCTGAAATTATTTTGAGATTGGTGTTTGCTCATTTTTTTTCTGATAAACAAGGCAATCGGAGACTCCAAGTTAAATACATGAAAAATCACAGAGAGTGGCTTGAGGCGAGGAGCAGTGCTTACAATTGAGGCACCCGTCCTGCGAGGATGCATTTTCACACTCAATTCAAGAGTGCGGGTTCCATCAGGGTTTTACCCTCCCAGAATAAACAGGGTATGCTTTTCTTCCTCATGCAGAGATTGGCTAAAGTAACCTGGGCTCGAGTTATATGAAGCTGCTCTATGTGGAATGCTCTATTTGCTGGTTTCAGAGTGTTTCGCCCACAAAATGTGCAGTCATTTCACTTACAGTATATTCTGTCTGTGAAGCACTTTGAGACCTCATCAATTGCAAGGAGTATTATTATTATAACTCCATATATTAATAATAATAATCCTTGCATTTGATGCAGCGCCTTATCACGTCTTCTCGACGTCTCAAAGCGCTTCACAGAATATACTGTAAAGTGAATTGACTGTATATTTTGTGGGCGAAACGCCAGCAGCCAATTGCGCACAGCAGTGTCCCACAAGAGTCCAAATAATTGAGTGACCAAATAATTCTTTTTTTTCTTGAGGGATTATTATCAGGCATGTGGAATAAGGAAACTTGCCCAAGGTTTCACCCTGCCGGGAATCAAACCCAGGTCTCTCACTTGGGAGGCGAATGCTCTAACCACTGAGCCACAGGATATCTGGAATTTATTTAATTTTATCAATAATAATCCTTTCTTTTTGATATTCGCACGCAACACGTCAGACACATTTCAAAGGACTTCATAGTTATTTGAAGCGAGGACACTGTGTATATTTAGACAAAGGCAATAGACAATTTGCGCGCAGCAAAGTCCCACAAACAGACATGAAGCGAATAACCTACAGAAAGATGTTCCCATGACCATCGCCCTGCCCGCCCCACCATCAGCGGTCAAGCCTTTCTTGCCCCCACCAATTGGAACTCCATCCCAGAGTCCTTTCACCTCGTCACACCTTCCCTTGCCTCCTTCAAGGCCTGTCTCAAGACCTTCCTCTTCAACCTTGCCTTTGGTCATCTTCCCACCTTCCCCGAACCCTCCATCCCCCTCGATTCCAACCCTCAGCTCAGGTGCAAACCTTGGATTGTCCAGCACCTTGGGATGTCCTCCTGAGGTAAAAGGTCATCTTAAGATAGTAAAACCGGTGGCCGTGAAACAGCAGATGATTTGTTTTCTGCACTTTAAGGATTTGTTTTAAAAAACAAAGAAGCAAAAAAAGGGAATTAAAAAAAAACTCCTAATTTACACTGCTGGGTGTTCCTGGGGTTGAACGACCTGTGGTTTGTGATTTTAGGGCCATGTTTACAGTGCGCTAGTGAGAAAGCCACAGCTGTGCCAGTGACGTTTTGCACTGGTCTGGCCGCTGGCATGAATGGTTTACACTGTACGCTTCACTCAATTAAATCGGTATCAAATGACTCCAGAATGAAGCCTGTGGCAAAAAAAACCACAACGCTTCAATTGTCATCTGTTTCGCTGGAAGTCGCGGTTCAGCAGGAACATAGCCGTTGAGTGACGTTTTACCGTTTTCTTTACACACCGCTGCTTTTCCCAAAAAGTTGTCAAACTAGTTGGGGAGGGGGGTGGGGGTGGGGGGTTTCAGAGAGTTTTTAAAACCCACTCTCGGCAGCAAACACACACACACACACAGGGTTGGTTGTGAAACTCGTGTGCTTATCCTGGCATTGCCCCCCCACCTCCAAAAACATTGTACTCACTCCGAGTTGGGGTGCTACATCAATGCAAGCTGTCGAGGTGGTTGTTTTTTGTTGAATGCTTGATCAGCTCCCAGGTTCAAAAAAAAATCCACGACTGTTTGTTGTACACTGCCGTGTGCAATTGGCTGCCGCGTTTCACCCACAATCCACTTTACAATATATTGCGTGAAGCGCTTTGAGGCATCTCAATGGCATGATAAAGTGCTAGATAAAATGCAAGGATTATCATTATTATTATTATATGTGTATTGAAGCGATCAACTCAGTGCATAAGGTGAGTTTTGCTTTTTTTGGTAGATTCCTAATACAATCCGTCTCCCAGCGTGTCACGGTCTGCCGTCCAGCTTATTGTAAGAGAAACAAGTACTCGTGCAACAAATTAGAAACCTGATCCTTGTGGGGCTGAGGTGCTCCCCAGCCTGCACATTCCTTTGCTAATTGCTGAGTCGAGTCGTGTTACAAGGCAGACTCAACCATCCAGGGGAATGAGGTGATGGAGCATACTGGTGCTGCTCCACAAAGCCAGCAGTCAGTCCTCAGTTAACGTAACCAAGTCATTCGCCCTTCCTCACGTGCGAGACAGACGAGATGGGAACACCAGTGGGCTGGGCTGTTAGTGATTTGGTGTGTGTGTTTACGTATGTGTGTGTGGCGGGTAATCAGAGCTGCGCCAATCTCTGGCCTTATCTGACTTTCACACATGCAACTTGCAGCTGAGGTTAATGTGTTTAATCAGGAGCAGGAACCTTGGCTGTCCAGGGGCGGGGTATCACAGCCACCACTGATCCTCTCCTTGCCTGGACCTTGAACACACACACACCTGCCAGCAGAGGCCACTCTTACGACTAAGTGCTCCGAGACGCTACCCCATGTGAAGGGCGCTGTATGATTAATTGCAAGTTGTTGTTATTGTTGTTCATTAGTGGAACAGACGAAAACAACAACAGGAGAAGGCCGTTCAGCCCATCTAAACAATTTTCCTCCCACCTCCATCCACCTTGACCTCAACCACTTTTGTTTCCAACCCCCAGCTCAGATGCAAACCCTTGTCCTCCCGACGAAAGGCGCTATATAAATCCAATTTGTTGTTGTTGTTGACCACCAGTTTATGAGATCATGGCAGATCTTGGGACATCCTCCCGACGTGAAAGACGCTATACAAATGTAATCTTATTGTTGCTATTGCCAATGCCCTTTAAATATAGTCAATTCATTTTACAGTATATTCTGTGAAGCGCTTTGAGACGTCTCAAATATGTGAAAAGGCGCTATATTAAATGCAAGGATTATTATTATTAATAGCTCTACTAACTCTTAGGAGAAGTGGGGAACCCGGGTAGATGTCTCCTTCCTCCAATGGTGTTGGTGGCTCCCAGCTGAGATCCGCAAACTTAGCAGACTGAAAGCCTGACACAAGAGACTGCCTTAACCCCGTGGGCCAGATGGAGGATTATCAGTGAGAGGAAAGCAAAGTTACTGAACATTTGAATACAGTATTTATAATCCTGATAATCCTTGCATTTGATATAGCGCCTAATCACGTTGTTGAGATGTGCTTCACAGAAAATATTGTAAAGTGGATCGACTGTGTATTTTGTGGGTAAAACACCCCATCACATAAGGTGGAGGCATTTGTTGCCAGTTTAAAGAAAACGTGACAATATCATAGTTTATCTGCTTGGTAGAGTATCTGTTCGGGATTACAGGAGGGAAAGCATGGAGGACGTTTATTTTTGATAAAACTTCCTCAAAACCTTAGACTGGAGGAGTTGAGGGAAAGGTAAAGTGTATGTTGTGACCTTGGCAACCATTAAGTTTCTGACGATTGCCTTGCAGGCTGTGACCTAGAGTTAATTATTAATCAGAATGAGTTCTTGCTAGAAAAACGGAAACTTCAACTTTTGACTCATTTTGGAGTTTCAAAGGAAAGTTGAAAAGAATGTCTGTCGTAGCATTTAGTAAAATGGAGGAAGGGGAAAAAATTATGATTGGTTCAGAGAGGGTGAACCATAAAAGAAAACCAAATTTTTTTCAATGTATTTTCTGTTCAGGAGTTGTGTCTGAGATCTCACACAAACGTATATTTTTCTGAAATAAACTATCCCAAGTTATAATAATCCTTGCATTTGATGGCACTTTATCACACCGTTGAGACATCTCAAAGAGCTTCGCAGGATATACTGTAAAGTGGATTGACTGTATTTTGTGGGCGAAACTCAGTTTGAATAGAATGTTAAACATGGCAATGAGCTATTTGCTGTTTCATACTCTCCCACATACCTACACACTTCCTAATCTCTCCTGTATGCAAAGAGGTGATAAAAAATATTCCAGATTAAAAAAAACTTGCATTTCTCCTTGTAAATTAAAGCACCTCAACCTCCAATACGAGGGCACCACCAAAAAGGCAACGTTTCAGGATTCTCCCTCCAAGAACAACCAGTTGTGTGAATGCACAATTACAGACCACAACATCATTGTGTAATGGACCATTTATTAAGCCATTTAGTACAATACACAGAAAAAGTATAAAGTTACATACAAGCCTAAATACAAGATTCTGCTATCCTCATGCGTTTGTTTCCTCTTTAAAACATTCATTATAGTCCTTTGTGATACCAATATGCGGCAGGAGTCCATTAACGATGTTTATTGTGAGCGGTCAGTTTCGACTTTAATATGGAAGAGATTAACTTGTGATCCCACCCTTTCTCTCGCTTGGCTTTGATTACATGCGTTCCACATTACTTTGATTATATCCATATCCCCAGTATTCACAAAACAAGGGATACTGCCCTTTGCCCAGTTAAAACCTCAAACTGAAGGGAGGTTGCTGCTTACAGAAGATGCATTAAGACAGGTACATCAACGGTGACAGATGTGCTTTGTAGAAAGATTTTGAAACCTAGGTGAGTTTTGAAGCAGATTACAGCAGAATTTTTTTTAATTAATCATCCTTATCCTTGGCACCGTGTTTCAGAATGCGGGTGAACTCCACATAATTGAAATTGCTCTTCTTGTCAATCGGTGCCTCTCGAAAAAGTTCATCCACTTCCTCGTCTGTGAATCGGTCCCCCATCGTGGTCAACAACTCTCGTAGGTGATCTTCGTGAATGAAACCTACAGTAACATGGGGAAAACTGGTGAATAGTTAACCTCTTACTTAGGCAGATATCTTTCTTTGCTACCAACCTGTACGCTCCCTCCGCTCAGCGGGCTCTGGCATGCTTCACGTCCCCGCCTTGCCCACCCCAACGTTGGTAGGTGGGCCTTCAGCCTCTCTGCCCCCACTCTCTTGAACTCCATTCCACAGTCCCTCTGCCTCGCCCCCTTCAAGACCCTCCTCTTTGATCGTGCCTTCGGTTATCCTCCTACCACTTGAATTGTAAAAGAGGAAACTCCTGATCTGAACAACCAGCTCGGGTGCAGATCCCTGACTGTCTTGGAATGTCCGCCTGACGTGAAAGGTGTTGTGTAAACGTAAGGCGAACTGGATGGACCTTGGTCTTCTTTCGTCTAGCAATATTTATGTTTTTAAGCTAAATTATCAACAGATCAACTGATAAATGATCAAAAGAAAAGATACTTGCCAATTCAAGATGCATTTGTAATTTTTAAATTACAGTGTTCACAGGGAAGGACAGCAGTAATTCATATGTGATGCTTATCGGTAACAAGATTGAGTAAACATGCCTGTCCCTTCCAGCGATAGAATGCAAGTGAAATCCTTCCTAAGGACACGACTTGCAAATATTAAGCATTCATACAATCTTAGATCCAGGTTTACAAATCCATATCAATTCTAACACACTTTGTTTTAGGTCTTCAGAATAGAGCGTTATAATAATAATCCTTCCATTGATATAGAGCCTTATGTCATTGAAATGTCTCAAAGCGCTTTACAGGTGGAACACTAAATGTAGTGACCGCATATTTTCTAGGCGAATGCGGTAGTCCATTTGTACAATCAGCCATGAAGTTACTGACCAATTTGATCCAGGGAACTGTTGGCCAACATACTGGTTGAAACTCTCTCCTCTTTCAGAAGTGCCACAGAAATCATAACATACATCTGAACAGGCTCAGATGGGACCTCAGTCTCATCCAAAAGGATGGCATCTCCAACGTTGCAGGGCTCCCCAAGCACTGCAGTGACAGCCTAGACACTTTATTAACTGACACAATCACATTTACCTGTTCCTTCTTCATCAAAGCAGGCAAACGCATTCCGAATGACATCTTCTGGATCGGTGCCATTCAGTTTCTCACCAAACATAGTGAGGAACATGGTGAAGTTAATGGGGCCAGGAGCTTCATTCATCATTCCCTCCAGGTACTCATCTGTTGGATTCTTTCCTGTGTTTTTTGTAAAAAAAGAATTCAAAGTGAACCACCTGAATTATTTGATACAGGTCACACAGTAGAAACTGACTGCACAATGTGGATCACAGCACACACCGGTCGTGGGGAATTTAAGCAACTTGAAAAAAAACAATATATTTAGCAAAACAGTCACACAGTTTTATAAAACAGAGCGAGTGACAAGACAAACATACACGACCTACTTATAACATTAATGGCAGTTGGGTGCCATTATGATCTGTATATTATGCAGACAAGTACGAGTAGCAGATAATGACAGTAAGAAAGATGAAAAAAAAATTCTTCATTTACAATTCAAGTGTAATTTAACATGAAAGTACTATAGGTTCTATTAGAAGTTATGTGGCATTACCCAGGGAAGCCAGCATATCATGGAGATCCTCCTTATCAATGAAGCCATCCCGGTTTTGGTCGATCATGTTGAAAGCCTCTTTGAACTCCTGGATCTGAGACTGATCAAACATAGCGAATACATTGGAAGTCGCACGCTGAGGGCGTTTCTTGGTTGTCTTCCCCTTTGATCTTTTGCTCGACATGTTGAAGACTTGGTGATCTGGCAAGTAAAGAATATGATTAAAAGCTTTTTTATTGGGGAGGGGGAGAAAAGAAATCAAAAACCATAACTTTTTCCAGTAGGATTCCAATCACACGACATGGTTAAGGTGAAGCTCAACATGTTGAAAGCAGAACATTGAGAAATGGCGTTGATTGCAGTCAGGTTTCCTTGCCCCCCCCCCACCCCCCTCCCGCCATTGAAACCAATATCAACCCTTCTCAAAAGTGTGGACTTCGGGATAACAGACTCTGCTGTGATGCCCCCCCTGTGTTCAAAATCCAGCCAACTGGCCAAGGCTCCCTCATGAACAATGGCGGTCAGGACAAGGTATTGGAAAGGGAGAAGAAAGCAATGGTTATGTGACAACAGAGCAGTCTTCAAAAACAGGACCAATTACAATGGTCAAGGAGGGAGGGGTATGGAAATTCTATGGGACAGAACAAAAAAAAGTTTGAAATGCAATGTGAAGCTCAGGAAATGAGGGTTCTGCCTACAATAACTACTTAATGTGACAATTGGGCACATTAGCAATTTTCACTCCCTAGCACAGAGGGATACCGAGGTCAATTGTGGGTCCCTTGCCGTGGCTGCATTGTAAATCAGCCAAACTCAGGGGCTCAACATGGTAATTCCTTTCTGGGTTACTAGCCGCCAAACAACAATTACCCATCCAGCCATCCACAAATGTAATTATTATTAGTTGCGTCACATTATATACTGGGCCGTTCCTGTGGAAGTTTGACTGCAAATCAATTATTTGACCTTTGTTTTATTTTAAAATGAAAGGCTATTTCAAAACTCCAATTGCATGCATTTACTTAAACGTAGCTACCCATTCACATTTGCCTGGGTATAAGGATCTTTACTCCATTGCACATTTGATCAAGGGTAAAATAGAATTGCTACGATCATTTAGTATAACTTTAGTGACATTGAGATACCATTGCCACCTTCGGTCAGGAGAGATGAAAGTGGTTCAGAGAGAGAGAGAGAGAGAGAGAGAGCGCAGAGAAAGAGCACTCGCATTCCATTTATATCTTCACTGTGTTTACTATGCTATCCAATGACACATTGCACTGCCTGCCTTTTATATTTTATTTCAGATGCACAACTTTCAAATCTGGATTAATGTTTAAACTGTCAGATGGAAAGAGAATTCAACCGTCCAGACTCAAAAAATTATATTTTAAAGGAATCACATCAGGATCTCCTTTATAGTACTGTATTTACAGAGAATGTACAGCACAGAAACAGCCCGCCACTTGGCCTAGCGAGTCCACACCAGTGTTTATACACCACACAGGTATGTGAAGTTGTATAACTAACTGAAAAGAGGTCACCTACATTAATCTACTTATTTTAAGATCCCCAACTAGAAACTATTTTCTTTGCATACATTTACGGAATATGTTTTATCCACTTTCCCCACTCCCAAACCGCTGGTCACGGATATTTAAACAAACAAGAACTAGTGAGGAACTCTACAAACTCATAAAGTGGTTAGCAGTGTAGCACTATAAGACACTGCTGCGTGCACCATACGTGTTGCCTTGATAAATAACAAGCCAAATATAGATGGCAGTGCAACAGATTGCAGACTTTTAGTCAACTCCTCCTCATTTTTCCTTAACCATTTGCAGTTAAGAGGGAGAAATGCTGCATTGTCCCATCATATTGTCTCAGACATGCATTTTTACATGATGGGTGTACAGGATTGAACTTAGAATTTGATCTTCTAACAATGGACAAAAGTATAACTTTAGACGGGCGTTTCCCCAACGACAGGGAATGGCAGACAGAATGAGTAACAGGAGTTCAGTGAATTCTCAAAACAATAAGCCTTCACAGATTAAGGGAGGTTGCAACTACTTCATTTGTTTTTTTATACTAATGCCCTGAATCTCACTGTACGTAACCGGAGGTGTCCTTGACTATTCATGTCCGCAGCATGTTGTTCACACGAAATCAGGGAAGTCCTTAAAGTATTTTCTCTAGTTTATACTGCTGGAGCAATTCTGCGCATGTTCACTTATTCCACCTGTAGAGCATTAAATTTGAGTTGTGAATGTGATCAAGAACTTTTAAAGTTATCTGTTCAAAATGCGGGCCAAAAATAAGATTTGCACCATTCTCTCTCTTGTGCTAAGGCGTATATAAATTTCTTGCCTTTTGTCTACAAAATACAGTCAGTTCACATCACAGTATCATGTTACGCGCTTCAAAAAGTCTTCTGTCCATGAAAGGCACAATATCGACTGCAAGGATTATTATAATCGCTCAAGTTATATACTAGCTCTATAACAATAATTCTTTGCAAAAAACAGCATTTCCGAGGCATTTATTTAAGCTCTGTCGTCCAGAGAAACTGCTGCCAATACCAAACATGGCCCTTAATTGAGAGCTGATCACATTTATTGTTATCATTTATTATTAATAAATGTATAATTTATTATTATTATTACTACATTTAAAGTATGTTCATTAATGTATCCGCAACGCTTGAACTGGNAAAACAGCTGATACCAATCAACACACAGCTTCCTAAAGCCATTTCCTCCCATCCAGGCACACCCATGGATACAAATTTCAGGGAACTCCATTAAATACACCGACTGCCAATGCTCTCCCCATTGCTTCCTTTTAACCATTTCATCCCCGGCTGATTCCTACACACATTAAACTTCCATTTGTGACTCACGATCCAAGCATCAAGTCCAGATCTTCCACCTAGTATTTATCCAGAGGATAGGGTTCAAAATCCTCGTCCTCACCTTCACGATCTTCCGCGGCCTTGCTCCTTCCTACCTCTGTGACCTGCTTAAATCCATATCAACCTGTCCACTCCCTCTGCTCAGCCTGCTCCACGTCCCCCGCCCGGCACGCCCCACCATTGGCGATTGGGCGTTCAGCGTCTCTGCCCCCGACGCTTTGGAATTCCAACCCACAGTCCCTTTGGCTTGCTCCCTCCCTTACTTCCTTCAACAACAACAACAAGATTCCATTTATAGAGCGCCTTTCACGTCGGGAGGACGTCCCAAGGTGCTGGACAGTTGGGTCGGGACCCAAGCAGGGGGGAAATGGTCAGGGTGAGGGGAGGGAAGGGAGGGAGCGAGGAGGGGGTAGAGAGTCGAGAGGGGAGCTGAAGGCACGGTCAAAGAGAAAGGTCTTGAGACAGGCCTTGAAGGAGGAAAGGGAGGAGGCGGCGAAGGCACTGGGGGATGGAGTTCCAGAGCCTCGGGGCTGAGAGGCATGTCTCAAGACCCTCCTTCCCCACCGACGTGAAAGGCACTGTACAAATGTAACTTGTTGTTAGTAAATGTCTAAAGTTACATCACGTCCTGTTTCAATGTACCAGGAAAAGAAAGGCATTACAGTAATACACATTTAGATATTTCAGACACTTTCCTTTCTCTCCCCTTAATTTCTATACAAGAATATGCCCACCAGTTTTGTGTCTAACTGCCCAGAAACATTCCAATCCAATAACTACGCAACTACCTCAAGTCCAAAGGTTCATTCCTACGTATCAATTGTACAAGCAGGCAAGCAAAGCTGGGATGATTGTAGTTGCTTTGCCCAAGGGATTATTAATAAATTTAACTGTTGCAGACAGAAGATACAATTCTATTTTTCACTAATTGTCCTTGAGCATTGCAAGAATGCCAAGTCCTGTATGAACTGGTTAATGATAACACAACCTCGACTATTTCACAGGCTTTGTGTCAGAATAGATCCAAGGTTTTATATCTCCCCCGCATTTTCCTAATGGCTTCCAAATGTTAGTTTATTTTAACTAACACCAAAGACGCTAAAGCACTTCAAAGAAGGGGTTCTCCTACTCCCCTGGCCAATGTGGTTCCCATATGGGTCATTCATTCCTTTCGTTTTGCAAGAAGTTAAATTTAAGAGATGAGATTTTCCTCTCCTCACTTTCTGTGTCCAATTATTCCTCCACACACCACATGACTGCTCCTCGCCTAAATTATACCCAATCATTTTATCCGAACACATTAGAGGAAATGGGATCACTTTCTGTAAAGAGTCCAGGCTTAACGTCATACTGTAAATTTAAGGTAAGCTGATGGCAGAAGGCATCTCCAGATCAAAACGTTATGAGTCAGTTAGTTACATCAGTCAGTGGCTACTCTCTCACCAGCTATTAATACTCAATTACCTGACTTTGCATGCAACAAAACTACTGTTGAAACAGATGAGTTAGATGAGTATATGTATGGGCTCATTTTATCGTCCACATTTTGCTCCAAGCTCCTTTACAACTTGGTGATCTGTTGTTAAAGCAACCATATTTCAGTTTTATATGAAATGCGCAGGCGAATGGGTTAGAAGTTCAAACGCCCTATTGATTAATATCACAACAGGGAAAAAAAACACAACCAGTGTCGGAGATCAGAGCTGAAGAAAATATTTCAAAATAAAATGTGAGCATCAGGATTTGCTTTCTACAATCTGATTTCTTTAGCAACTGAGGTATACTAGGCATTTTAGAGGTGTTATGGTTTCAACTAGAGGTCTGTATCCAAAGCTCCTCACTTTAATTTTTGCCCAATATAAAGTTAATAGTTTTGCTTTCAAACAGGCTTCTGACAAGGGGTAAAACCGAAGCTTATTTGGCTTCCCCTAAAGATCCTACATAGTTGAACACTAAGCTGAGCTAGCCGATTGGAACCAGAAAACAGTAGCCAATGGGTAAAGGGGAAGAATTTCTGGTATGAATCGCTTTCCGGTGTCTCTAGCTGGAGAGTGTGGGCACCAGCCTGGAATACAACAACTTGCATTTATATAGCCCACTTCACGTGGGGTAGTGTCCCGGAGCACTGAAAATAGGATTGGGCTCAGCTCAGCAAGGTGCCCTCCATCCATGGTCAAGCAGCCTGCTTCATTGCAAAGACTCATTTCCTGGGTTCCAATGAAATGCTTTCAAGCACTACACCCCAAACCTTGAAACTCTCTTCCCCAATCCCTCCACCTTGCCCTCTCCTGCCCTTTTAGATCACGACTGAAGACCTTCTTCTTGGACCGTGCTTAAGGTCACCTCCTCCCCCCCCCAGCTCGGTGTCAGGCTCCACCGCTGTTAAGCACTCTGAGACGCTGCCCCGTGTGAAGGACGCTATACAAGTGCATGTCCTTGTTGAAATGATCATTTGGTTGAGGTTCTGGAGGGTGATTGCCATGTATTCAACTTTACCCAGAAGCAGTTTGCACCTTCTGGAGAAGAGGAGGGATGAAAGTTCCACCCCCACAAAAAAAATACATACTCCCATTTGTTTGGCAATTTTTCTCAGCTAAACAAATTACTTCAGTAAATACAGTAATTAGCAGTAAAATTAAGTTTTTAAATCATGTCTCAAAACTTTTTAAGACTTTAAAATGATCCAGTCCAAGTTCACCGCAATGGGTCAAGGTTTAAGCAACTGCCTACCCAAGCTTTGGAATTTATTATTTTTGTTGCTCAGAAGCTCAAGAATGCCATCAGCAGTCTCTGGCTTGGAAATGGAATGCTAAACTAGTGCCTCAAGATAACACAGCTGTAATCGCAATCATATGTGGATCCCTATTCCACAAGAATGCAAGAAGGCTCGCAAGATCAGACACCAAACATTTCTAGAATGGGTAGAGTCAAGCAACAAGAGACTGACAACAAGTTAAGCTAACTTTATTTCTTGAGCTTGCTTTAAGTCTTCAGGAGAAATCAGCTCAAATTTCAACCCAATTAATCCAAATCAAACTAGTTTTACACATCCAACCTAAAGGCCCACAGGCTGCTCAGTCATTCAGTCTCTGCTTGGATTCTGAGGGCACATTTAACTCGTACATTTTCATCTAAACTTTCAACCATTGAACCAAACATCTGCTTCACAACCAAAATGTTGCGATGCCATTACAATGTCGAATAAGTCTTAAAGAAAGGATGATTTTTTTTTAGATAATAGGGGAGATATCACAACTTTTTTGGTCACCCTGTAGATTTTCTTCTGAAACATACTGTCAAATAACATCTTTTTTTAAAAACAAAATCCCTCATTTCTTTAAAGTCCTGGCTGGACTAAAAAGTAGTTATCCCTTGTTTTGCAGTTGCACTTCTTAGCAGAATAAACAAACACACATATTTAACATAAACAGTGGTTTCGAACAAATTCTCTGAATGTGCCCTATTTTGGCAAAAAGTTGCAAACGTTTTCGCAATTTGTATCTACAGTCGGTATCTGGATTAAGATTCCTTACCTGAGCTCTTACAAAGGGCAAGGAGTGTATATTGTCTTCTGATCTAAAAGGAACAGAAGAAAGTAAGAACTAAATTGATGTCCAGGTCACATGCTAACACCATCCAATGCCCACAGGCAGCTGCTGAAAGTTCCTCCCCTCCCGTTCCAGGGAATTGTCCATACAAGGCAATAAAATGCTAACTGGGTGGCTGCCAAGAGACTTGTGTACAATGGATTTTGGGATATTAGCACAAGCAAATTGACTCAAACAGACAAGATGCCTTATATAGATGAAACGAGCCAGCAAAGTCCAATCAGCAGTCACGGTACAGAAATGTTCCTTACACATACTGTAGTTAGTTATACATCACATGCAACAGGACCAAATAAGTCAGGTTTGCTTTAAAAGGATATACAACTACACAAAATATATAGTCAATTCACTTCAGAGTACATTCTGCGAGGTGCTTTGAGACGTCTCAACGACGTGTCAAGGTGCTATATCAAATGCAAGGATTATTATTATTACTACATCATTTCTATTGAATATTGAGTTAATAGTTTTAACAACCGTGGATTGGTATAATTTTATATAATTTTGGTACGTTCCAACAAAGTGACAATTCATACAAGTCTACTTTAATCGGTTTATTAAATCTCATTTTAAACTTGATTTTCTAACAGCAAGTCAAGTAATTGAGTTTCGGGCTTACTTAACATTTTTTCCCCCACAGACAGTGCAACACATCTGGATTTAGCACTATGTTTAATATGCAAGAGTTGGACAATTTGAGATTCAATCAGTTTGCCACTATAATCCGGGCATGTCCACTAATAATGAAGAATACGGGTAGATTTACACACTGTAGATTCCAGCCCACTGGCAATTGAGACTGCACTTTATTAAGACCCTAACAAGATAAATTCCTTTCACCCCATCAGTCTGAGATGGATTTAGATGCAGGCCTCAAGATTGAATAGCAACAAATGGCCACAGAGCTGATTGTACCAAACTTTATTTGCTTTAATGTATTTCAGAGTCCATTGTGGGCTAAGACCAGTTATAGGAAAGTTAAAGGCTTGAATCGGTGATGGGTAAGGCAGTGGGATTAAAAGACCAGCCTGCTCTGAGATTCGGTGCAGACTCAATGGGCCGAGTGGCCTTTCTGCACTGTAAATTTCTATGATACACAATCTAGCACCAGTGGGCAATGACATAGTCACATTCATATGGTAGCACAGAGGATTCAGTGATATAGACTGGCAATTTCAGAATGTGTTTACTGAGTCAACCCAATCCCCAGGGACAGAGATTTTAATACTTGTGGTTCTTGGAATTTTCCTGTAGTATAAACATAGTAGTTTATAGGAACAGGGCATCGTAAATTTTAATACTATCTATGGATAAATAAAGGCTTGAGGCATTAGAGGATACAAGGACGTCTAATGTGGGAACTGAAAATAAAGGAGGTGTGCTCATCTGAGGTTGACATTAAAGCACGTGGAGGGGGGAAAATATGATTCACATGCTGTAAACATTCTCCTCTCCTTCCCAAATGTTGGAACAAAGCACAAGGAATGACTTGACCACATCAAGTTGATGCAAGACTATCACTAGTCCTGAAAATGGGTAGAGACTGAAGTCCATTTACAACTCTATTAAGACTACACATGCACTTTATAAAGATCCTGACACCATGGGATAAATTATTTTCAGTTCATCAGTATGTACATCAGTTCTAGGAAGGATTTAAACACAGGCCCCACCCAGATTCAAACAGCAACCACACGCCTCAATAATCAACATCAGCTTATCAAGCATTGGTCACAAGCTAGCTGTCAAATCAACATTCTCTGCCAGTGTGGCATATCGTGACCAATCCCATGATTTACACACTTTCTGGATAAGGATAATTCAATTCGAAGAGTGGACCCATCACGTACGTAAAATAACATTGACAAAGCGCTGTATCAGAGATGGGGGGGGGGGGCTACAATTGGCTCACTGTCAAGGTTCCTGATCCCAATTATTGTCCAGTTCCTCTATCTACCTCCCTCCCTCCCTCCCTTCCAGGCTGTTTTTCTTCACATTTGCCCATTGGATCAATGGATGAGATCAGGATCAAGTCTGGTTGCCAGGGTCAAATAATAACAATAATAATCCTTGCATTTGATATAGGCCTTAGCACTTTGTTGAGACTTCGTCTCGAAGCATTTCACAGAAAATACCGTAATGTGAACTGACTGCATATTTTGTGGGCGAAATAACCGGTCAGTTTCCACGACTGGAATCTGACACTTAGGAATGGACGCGCACAAGTTTCTGGAGCTCAGGAGTACGGTCTGTGGCAGCCCTGGGATCTTCCTGCTCTGTATCCCTCACGTTTCACACTGCCTTGGGGGTACGGAAAACCCTAAAGAAATAGCAATGTTAGCGTTCAGCGTTTAAGGTAGCGTTAAAGCCACAGAGCTGACCACTGCTCGGAGCGGAGCAGAACAGCGGTACAACTGGTAGCTTCCGTTTTAAGCATCGAGGACACTCGAGCAAGTTAAAAATACCCTCGACCCAGTAAGACTCAAATTCCCAGGAGCCGCAGGAAATCCAAGGATGAGGTTGGGGGTGGGGGGGGTGGGAATGGGGAGTTGTAATTCGATTCCATTTAAGGGCTGGAAAAGAACGGGAACAGAGAGAGAGCGCGAGCGAGCGAGAGCGAGAGCGAGAGCGAGAGCGAGAAAAGGGGAGACAAGAGACAGCAAATGACACGGAGGGCAAAGTCACTCCATCTCGAAATGGTAATTTATAACACAGCAAAAAAAAACTTTGCATGACATGAGATCTATTAATAATACCCTCGAAACCCCCCCCCACCCCCCACACACACACACACACACACACAAACCTTCCCCTTGATCCACAACCCCCCACCCACCAACATTACCAAAGCCTCAGAGGCACGCGAGAAATTCCACGCAAAATCAGCTGAAAGCAAGAAACACGCGATCGAGTCAGTGGAGATCTGCAATGAACTTTTTTTTTCCTGAATGAAAAGAAGCCACGCAAGTGTGTGTGTGTGTGTTTTTTTTTGCAAGATTTCACAGTGTGTGTGTGTGTGTGGGGGTGTGTGTGGGTGTGTGTGTGGGTGTGTGTGTGTGGGGGAGAGAGAGAGACACACACCCGACCGTACAGCAACATCCAGAGCTCATAGGGAACGGAGGAGCGGAGTGGGGGACACAACGCAACGCAACACAACAGGTTTACACGTTGAGTGGAGTTGGATGCGAGTCAAGAGGAAAAGTCAACAGAAAAACAGTCACTTAACTTACCCTCTCACACACACACACACCACACACCACACACACACAACTTTGGTAGGACAACCAGACTAGTGAGACCTGACTCTGGATCTGGATCTGGATCTGGATCCGAACCTCTCTCTCTCTCTCTCTCTTCCTCTCTCCCAAGCCTTTATTTTACGAATGCACAAGCCCTTGACGTCAGGCGCAGACTAGCCTATAATGGGACTCAGCGCCTGCAATGAGTAACCCAAAGGGAATGATGTTTCCACCCTTCCGGCAGCATCAGAGCGGAAAGGATCAGCCATCATCTGGGTTATCTTCTGCTCCATCTCTCTCTCTCTCTCTCTCTCTCCTCCCATCTCTCTCTCTCTCATCCCATCTCCCATCTCTCTCTCTCTCTCTCCTCCCATCTCTCTCTCATCCCATCTCTCTCCTCCTGTCTCTCCTCCCATCTCTCTCTCTCCTCCCATCTCTCTCTCTCTCCTCCCATCTCTCTCTCTCATCCCATCTCCCATCTCTCTCCTCCCATCTCTCTCTCTCATCCCATCTCCCATCTCTCTCCTCCCATCTCTGTCTCTCCTCCCATCTCGCTCTCTCTCTCTCTCTCTCCTCCCATCTCTCTCTCTCTCTCATCCCATCTTTCTCTCTCTCCTCCCATCTCTCTCTCCTTCCATCTCTCTCTCTCTCTCTTTCTCTCATCCCATCTCTCTCTCTCTCCTCCCATCCTCCCATCTCTCTCTCTCCTCCCATCTCCCCAGGAGCATTCATCCCCTCTGCTGTGAATCAGGACTGAGCCAACTGTACTTCGTTGGATAAAGTGCCTGCATTATCTGTGCATTTAATGCCTTCATCTAATTCATTTTAACAACAGTGTCTTAACTTTTTTTATATACATACACACACACACACATATATATATAACAGTTTTTCGTGACTCAGTAAAATTGAGTTTAACACAATTTCTAATCAACCAATAAATGTGGATTTTTATATTAAAAGAAATAAAGATCATTCTAAAACCTGTCTTTATGTCGCAGTTAAGGCCATCAGCGTGTTACAAACTAACCTAATTTTAAGTCGAACCACTTTAAGTGCTCCGGGCTGCTAACCCACATGAAGGGCGTTATAGAAATGCAGATTATTGTTGTTCTAGATCTCCAGCAGTAGATCAAGTTTAAACCGAAACTGTTAATTGCACCTTCTGCACAATCACAACAAATTACATTTGTATAGTGCCTTTCACACTCAAAGTACTGAACAGTCAGGGATTTGAACCCGAGCAGGGGGTTGGGATCAGGATGCAGGGAGGGTAGGGGAAGGAGGGTGACTAAAGGTGTGGTCGGAGGGGAGTATATATTGAATATTTTATAAAGACTTACAAAGACTGTGCAGCACGGAAACAGGCCAATCAACCCAACCAGCCCTTGCCAGCGTTCATACTCCACGCCAGTCTCCATCCATTTTGCAATTTGAAAATGTTCTATGTTGCAGCATCAATTGTTCATACATATATTGTGACCCAGAGAACAAACGTACAGGAATGTCTTGAAGTGAGCATTAGTTTCAAACTAATAACAAGTTCTGCAATGTTATCTAACTTTGATGAACTCGTAGCAATACAGAACATCATCCCAATTGCGTGTTGTGTTCATGTGTTGTAATATAATACAAAATTACATTTGTATAGCACCTTTCAAGTCGGTAGGGCAGCTCTGGGTAGGTTAAGAGCTGGAGAAGGATGTGGCCAACACAGTTGGGTCTAGATTGAGAGATAAATAAACTATTCCTGAGAAATTCCACTCTTGCACAGATTTACTCCATTTTCTTAGCATTTCAGAGCATCTACAATTTAACAAATTGCTGAATTTAGTCTTAACTTTGAAGCTAGTTTCAAATTTAAATTCAACTGCTTTCAAATTTAAAGCTGTGGGTAAGAATTTGCCAAATACTGGGCGTTCATCCATTCTATCCTCATCCACCGCCTTCCCTCTCACTTCAACCTTCATGGCTCTGTCCTTGACTGGTTCAGATCATACCTCTCACACCGCCTGCACAAATGGCTTCTCAGTCATCTTCGAGCAAGTTGTGAATATTAGTTTGGAAAATGTCCAAGTTCTTATTTCTGAAATAGTGTTTATGGGGGTTGGGTGATATGTCAATATGGGCATTATTTTACTACAAGTGGTATCATCATTCGGGGGAATGTTCAAGGTGTTTGCGCTTCTAAACCCATTTAAACACATGCAGTCGTGCCAATTGTTACGGGTCACGTACTTCCAAATAAGTCACATTTTAAACTGAAACTAGTGATTTTCGTTTCTATTGAAATAGTGCAAGCAGTCCTCCAAGTCCCTCCCTCATGAGATGGGACAAACTCATTTTTATTTGGGAGTGGCAATCTATTTTGGTTCAAAATACTGCTTAAGTGTGTTTGAGTTTCAAATCCGTACATGTTTTGATTATAAATACCACATTATACATCAGCCTGTACCCCAATAGTGATTGCTAGCAGCAACATTTCAGAATAAATTGGTCTGTCATCCAAATGCTTGCATTTGATATAGCAGCTTTTCATATTGAAACGCTTCAAGGTAATTACTGTCAAGTGTATTTATAAGAAAACTCAGTAGCTAACTTGCACACATTAGTGTCCCACAAACAGCCAGGAGTCAAATGACCAATTTAAATGGAGGATTTGCTGTCCGGGAAAATGGGAGAAACCTCCCTTCTCTGTTCCAATAAAGCTGTCGCCTTGACTGGGCAGACAAGGACAGGACTTTGGTTTGGTTTATGTCTCACACTAGCCAACGCAGTGGGATTGCGACTTGTTTGTGGGAAACTGTTGTGCGCAATTGGCTGCCGGGTTTCATCCACAAAATACAGTCGATTCACTTTACAGTATATCCTGTGAAGCGCTTAGAGATGTTTCAACAACAACAAAATTACATTTGTATGCTGTCTTTCACACCGGGAGAATGTCCCAAGGTACTGGACAATCAGCGTTTTGAACCCGAGCTGGGGGTCGGGATCAGGGGGGGTGGAGGGCAGGCGGGGAAGGAGGGTGATCGAAGGCACGGTCGAAGAAGAGGGTCTTCAGATGGGTCTTGAAGGAGGCAAGTGAGGGGGTGACTGCGGGATGGAGTTCCAGAGGGTGGGGGCAGAGTGGCTGAAGTTGCTGTATATAAATACAAATTGTTGTTGCATATAAATGCAAATTGTTATGTACAAATGCAAATTGTTGTTGTTGCTGTTGTTGCTGTTCTTGTTGCTGTATATATATACAAATTGTTGTTGTATATAAATGCAAATTGTTGTTGTTGCTGTATATAAATACAAACTATTGTTGTATACAAATGCAAATTGTTGTTGTTGTCGCTGTATATAAATACAAACTGTTGTTGTTGTTGTTGCTGTATATAAAAACAAGTTGTTGTTGTATACAAATGCAAACGACTGTAGTTCGAATCAGGATGGAGCTGACACAATGAGGAGGCGGGGCTGCCTTTGATTGACAGGGTGACGTCAGCGCACCGACCGAGGTGGGCGGTGGTGGTTGACTCGTTGCGTGATGACGCAGAGGGCCACGCGGCGGGCAGCCGTTGAGGACGTTGCGCGGTGGCGTGCGTGCGTGAGTGAGTGAGTGAGTGCGCGCGCGCACGCGCGCTGGTGCTGAGGCTGGGACCGGGGCAGTCAGTTGGTGTGGAGCCGCCGCCGCCGCCGGGAGAGAGGGACGTGATGTCCGTGCGGTAAAGCGGCTTCTCACCCGTTACTTCCCTCCCAGCGACCGGCGAGTGTCTCCTTTCTCCCCGTCTCTGGCTGGGCCGCCTTCTCCTGAGGGGCGGGGGAGGCTGGCGGGGGGGGGGTAAGTCTGGCTCCTGTGTGTCATGTTGTTGGGGGCAGAGCCCCTGGCGCTGGGCCTGGCCCTGAGGGGCATCGGGGAAGGGGGTGAGGTGGGGGTGAGGTGGGGTTGTGAGGGGGTGTGAGGGTATGTGGGGATGGTCAAGGTGGGGGGGGGGTTAATGACAGTAATCCTTGCGTTTGATCGAGCGCCTTATCACGTCGCCGAGAGGAGACGTCTCGAAGCGCTTCGCAGAATATACTGTCGAGTGGATTGACTGTATTTTGTGGGGGGGAACGCGGGAGCCAATGGCGCACGGCAGTGTCCCACACGGTTCTGATTGAGACCCGATTCTTTTTTTTTTTTGGAGGGGACGATTACCCGGAGAAACTTGTTCTCTAAGGTTGTTGGGCTAAAGGGTCAGTGTGAACACTGTTGGGGTCGGAGTGGGGGGGGGGTCCTCACACAGGTTGCCAGCATCGCTGGTGATCCCATTGATTCCTCGCGCGTGCCCAGCGTGTGCGGTCCCGGTAACTGGACGTGCTGACAACGGCAACAACAAAATTACATTTTGTAAGGCAGCTTTCAGGTCGGGAGGACGTCCCAAGGTGCTGGACAGTCGGGGATCAGGACCTGTGCGCGGGGCGGGCAGAGAGGTAGGAGGGCGTCTGAAGGCACGGTCGAAAAGGAGGGTCTTGAGTTGTGCCTTGAAGGTGCCAAGGGAGGGAGCAAGGCGAAGGGATTGTGGGATGGAGTTCCAAAGGGTGCGGGCAGAGAGGCTGAAAGCCCGGCCGCCGATGGTAGAGCGGGACGGGCGGGAGACATGGAGCAGGCTGGAGCCTGCTGAGTGGAGGGAGTGGACAAGTTGATAGAGATGAAGGAGGGGGCAAGTATATATATTATATATACCCTTTGAGACACTAATATAATTATTGTCTCAAAGGGTTTCACATAATTTACTGTAAAGCATAGTGTCTGTATTTTGTAGGCGAATCTGATGGCCACTTTGCACACAGGGTCAGCCTGGACTATGTAAATTCAAAGCCCCGACATGGGACTTGAACCTACAATGCTTTCACTCAGAGTGTGAGTGCTACTGAAGCGGTCTGACAACTAGCTCAGGTATCGATGTTCTCAGGGCCTGACACACTGACAATATGTAAGTGGGGGTTTCAGCGACAGGGCAAGTGAACTATATTTGATTGGTGGCTCCAGGAGCTGGGCATCGATTGACACGTACCGGTGGTCTCGAGAGATGCTGCTGGTCTAATTAATAACCTTTAAACTCTTGGTATTGAGTTGTTAATGAGCTGTGTGCTATTTATAGCTCTGCAGTAAACAGGAAAGTGATTTCTTCTGAATTTTCTTTTGATCATCTGGTAGTTTTGTTTTGGGTGTGTGATGTTTTGTTTTGCTCCCTTCAAAACGTACCACAAGGAACAGGAAGCAGTACTTGCATTACTGTTTAGTTTGGAACGTTGCCAGCGATTACTTTGCAAAAGGGTGCAGATCCCTGACCGTCCAGCGTCTTGGACGTGAAAGGCGCTTTACAAATGTAATTTGTTGTTGAATGTTAAAACCAAAGCTGGTAAAGCTCTGGTAAACTGTATCCTTTACAGAGTAATTATCATAATTCGGTCAAAGTTTTAAAACTATTACTGAACAAGAACAATACATAGCATTCTCTTGACAAGCACAATACGTAGCATTCCCATTCTGCCCTTCGAGGCTGTCCAAACGGAACAGGCTCGAAGGGCTGAGTGGCCTACACTTCCTATGTCACAAGTTTTACTTCATTTACTGTTTGTTGCTAAGTACAATACAGACTGGGAAGGTTCCAAGTTCATTTCCGTGTTTTATGCTTGATTAGCTGATCTAGGTTAGGGCATGAATTGCTGAGTAGAGAAGCAATCAGCTAGGGTTTGATTGCTATCCAGTGATGTGTCTGTGCACATACATATTTGGTACGGACATCAAGGCTGTGAGAAAATATACTGTGTCTGTCTAACTTATGTCCATCTAGCAGTTCACCAGGACGCTACTCTGCGTCAATGGCGCTATATAAATGCAAGTTATTGTTGTTGTAATCCATATTAATCTGAATTGGCATCAGGTTCAGGCCATTTCCCAGAGAAATTATGTTTGTTGTCAGGGCTGTGATACAAAACAACCAAAGTATTGGTTTGAAAGTTCTTGAAATAGTCCAGAATTTTAAGTAACTTGAAACATAATAATAATAATTCTTGCATTTGATATAGTGCCTTATCACGTCATTGAGACATCTCTTTACAGAGACAGACAGATGCATTATTTCCCAGTAGATTTGGAATTGCATATTGTGCAACTTTGCATTATTATTGGGTTTATTAAAAAAAGGTCTTTAGTTTCCTCAAAGAGCCCATAGGTGGCAGTATCTGTTTATCAGTTGAGCTTCAATTGTTACTCTATCAATAACATACGTACGGACCTACCTGTACACTATCATAGAAAACAATACTGTCTATTGGCAGAATAGATTCATTTAGCAATTATTAATGCTCGATGAACAATTTATGAACACATGAGAACTCTGCAGTTATTCCTGTGATACCGGCTACTCTTGAAGGTTAGCGAATCAATCAGTGGTGAGCTGTTGATTTCACAGTTTAGCACCCTATCAAATAGGAATTGAATGAACCTCCTGACCCCTGTGAGAAACTAATAGGTCACTAATCCAGCTATAGTGTATTAAATCAAAAACATGGTGTGTTAAATTACTGGTGTATGTACAGAGCTGAAACAACATCCACCAATATTCAGTGTAATGAGTCATGAAGAGCATGCAGTTTTATAGCACCTTATTGAATTGAAACAGCTTGATGGATTTTAAGAGTAATTAGTGTAAAATATATTGACTTTTATTGGTAAACATGACAGCTGTTGTGACCAGCGACGTCCCACACTTACCAAACAAGCCAAACTGACATTTGAAAGTTGGTGTTTCCAAAATGGAGCACTGTTTTCAGGCTCCAGACCATTACCCTTAACACCACACCTTGGTGATAACTGACTGCGAAGATCTTTCACCTGTGAAACCTAATTTCATTGTAGAACAACAACAACTTGCATTTATGTAGCCCCTTCACGCGGGATAGCGTCCCAAAGCGCTTTCACAAGATCACTTGTAACTTGCTTGAATAGAAGCAGTGCAGTTACTGTGCACTGTGTGATTGCCACTGGGTACTCTTGTCTCCATTGTGAGTTGAATGAAACATGCCTTTTGGGAAAGCAGCAGCATAGAGTTATCTATTCAAGTGTTTTGCAGCAACAACAACTTGGATTTATATAGCGCCCTCCACGCCAAACGGCGTCTCAGAGTGCTTCACAATAACAGATCCGAGGGGGAAGAAGGTGACCAAAGGCGCGGTTGAAAAGAAAGGTCTTTAGCCGAGACTTGAAAGTAGGAAAAAAGGGCCGAGGTGAAGGGAGTGAGGAAGGGAGTTCAAGAGCCTCAGGGGCATAGAGGCAGAAGGCACGGCCGCCCTTGGTGGAGCAGAGGATTCGGGGGACAAGGAGAGGCCAGACCGGTGGAGCGAAGGCAATGGGCCCTGTTGTGAGGAGAGAGGAGGTCAGAGAGGTAGGGGGGGTGCAGAGGAGTGGAGGGATTTGAAAACAAGCATGAGGATCTTGAAATCGATCATCTCTGGGACAGGCAGCCAGTACAGTCTGGCAAGGACTGGGTTAATCGGGGAGCGGAGTTTGGTTCGGGTAAGAATGCAGGCGGCAGAATTCTGGATGATCTGGATTTTGTGAATGGTAGTGGAGGGGAGACCAGTGAGGAGGGCATTTGAATAGTCTAATAGAGGGATGACAAAGGCATGGACCAGGGTTTCAGTGGCTTTTGGGGTGAGATATTGGTGGAGTCGGGCGATGCGTTGGAGGTGGAAGAAAGCGGTGTTGGTGAGGGACCGGATGTCGGGGAGGAAGGATACTTGGAGGTTGAACCTGACGCCTAGGTTGTTCAGAGAGATTTAGGGGCAGGTTGGGTAGGTGGAGGAGGTGAGAACTGCACACCTCTCACGGAAATTGATGAGCCTGCCATCCTTCTGCAACATTGAATCAGTCATGGTGTAATTGCAGATGGACTTTGTATATTTATAAATGCTTTCTACATCACCGACTGATTATTATAAGCCAGTAGCAAAAAAACAATCAGTGCACCTGTGGCCTTAATAGGAACAAGCCGAGTAGTACTTGTCTAGAGGAGACACTCGTGGGATCTGATGCAATATGCAATATAATAATATAATAATTGCCTCCTGTGAGAGCTTTAATCTCCCATTACATTGCTTTTATCCCAGGTACAATATTCAGGCCCGGTGCACAACTTTCCTCAGATACAATTTTCTCCTTGGAGTTTTACATCTATGTACCCAATGCTTGTTCTGCTGGTCTAAAAGAGCGGTGGCAATCCATAGGAAGTAAAAGTTGCGTTACTGTTCCCTGTAAAGTCTGCTGAGTTTTTCCATAGGTGTGTGCTCTGAAGTGGACCCTTGGATGATGTGCACAGGCCCTTGAAGTGAAAATTCATAGCGTTATTAAAACAAAAGTTACACTGGACAGCTTAGTACGTTGAATAACCTATCAGTGTAACAGGTGGTTGAAGAGATTCACCAATTACAACAGAAGGGAAATTTATGAGTCTTCATAGAACCATAGAATTATACAGCACAGAAGGAGGCCATTTGGCCCATTGTTTCTGTCCGGCTCTTTGAAAAGAGCTATCAAAATCAATCCCACTCCCCCGCTCTCACTCCATATACTTGCAAACTTGTCCTCCCCAAATAATGAAATAAAATAATTATCACATGTTTTACATGTGAAGGGGAGAGGTCGAATAGATGGATAGATAAAGGCCTTACTGTTGAT